AGCTTTAGCGAATATTAGCAAAAACCCCATTCAAATTAATGAGAAGTTGTAGCACAGTGTCTCAGTCTTGGTCAAAATGTGTCAACTGTTCTTGTCAGACAGCTACAATGTTTAAGCAATAGAACACGAGAAGGAGTGTGTTATTGTGAAATAACATCATGGCTGTGATTTGGTCGCAGGCATGAGCCGAAGGCGACCTGGAGTGTTCTATTGCTTTTATACAACGGCTAAATAAATAAAGTAAGAAATTAATAAATTGGGCCGTGAACGTGTCGTTTAATATGTTTTAATTTTAGCAGTTCCTTCCACCAAATTATAGTTCCTTAACAAGCAGCTTGTTGTTACGTCAGAGTATCGAACTCCGCTCACTCGCTGCACTAATTCCTGTCTTACTTTGGCTTGAGCGTCTCCTACAGCTGACAAAGTCATTGCTTAGCAACGGCGTCTCAGTGGAGTGCAAAGTGTTTGTGAAAAAACTGTGCTGTTATGGCGAAATATCAGCACGGTTAGAACGCTTCTCAACCAATCAGCTTGCATGGCCGGAACTAACTGTTGTATAATGGTACACAACACTGGGACTCGTTCACCAATAACTTCCTAAGCTTTTTCTTAAATTTGTTCTTAAGAAAGTTCCTAAGAAAAAGTCTACGTCAGATTCACAAAGTGTTCGTAAACAGCAGAATTGTTCACACCTTAGTGCTCAACTGTGTGTAGATTCTGTTCTTACTTAAGAACAAATTTGAAATAAGAAAACATTGATGAATATCAGAATCTTCGTGAAAACTGCGTAAGTGAGTTTTAAGAAGAACTTTCATTTTAAGAATGGGCCTCATTCACCAACCAATGTTTTTCCTGTACTAAACGCTCTGCTGCTGAGCTGGACTGTGTTAGTTGATCGAAACTAGACAAATTGGAGTTTCACAGTATGATAATGTTAGCTTGTTTACATAATAAAAGAACTACACTCTTAAAAAAAGATGGTTCTTCAAGTGAATAGTTCTATTTAGGACTGTGAGTTCTGCACAGAACCATTTCATGCTTAAATGGTTCTTTGCACGGTGAAAAGGTTCTTCAGACTGATGAAGTATGGAGATGGTGTTGTATGTGGTTTTTAAAAAAAGGTTCTATATAGCACCAAAAACGTTCTGCTATTGTTGCAGTGTCAAACTCCACCCTTTTTGGTGCTAATCAGAAGCATTTTCAAAAAAGGTTCTATATAGAAACATAATACAATAGGACCATGCCCTTTACTAAAGAACACTTGAAGAACCATCTTTTTCATTTATATAGAACCATTTCATGCTTAAACTGTTCTTTGCATGGTCAAAATGTTCTTCTGATGTGCTGTATATGGTTCTATTCAGAAAGTTTTTGAAAACTGTTCTTTATAGAACCATATATAACACATCTGAAGAACCATGCAAAGAACCATTTAAGCAAGAAATAGTTCTATATAGAACTCAACTAGTTCTATATAGAACCTTTGCATGGTGAAAATGTCCTTCAGATGTGCTGTATATGATTCTGTATATGGTTCTATATAGAACCTTTTTGAAAATGGTTCTTTATAGAACCATATACAGCACATCTAAAAAACATTTTCACCATGCAAAGAACCATTTAAGCATGAAATGGTTCTATATAGAACTCATGGCATTCCATTTACTGAAGAACCCTTGAAGAACTGTATTTTTAAGATTGTCCAGACTAGGTGCTGCACGACTAATACGTTTAACTAGTCGACTGGTCATTTTAAAAAGTAGTTGACTAGTCGTCATTACTATATTTTAAAGTGAGAGGGGGGTGTCAAAATTAGTTTGTTAGCAGCTTGCTAAAAGGGGCTGGTTCTAGTGGTAGATGCTGCAGTTTGAGGTGTAAGATGTGCATTTTAAACAAGTTTTTCATCGTATTTCAGTCATTTTCAGCCTCAGGCACTCTGTACAGTAGAACACTGGCTGTCAGATGTAAACTGCACGTTAAAATCACCACAGCTCGCAGAAACTCACCTCTCATGAAGAGTTTAAACTGGTTCTGGCTATATGTGCTTTCATGTACTGGTATTATCAGTCTGATGGGAAGCAAATGATAGTAGCAAGCAGTTGTATCTCTGTAGATAAGCCTTTCAGAGTGAGATAGAGTCACTGAACAATGATATCCTGTTTTAAAAAGTTATTCCTGAGTTTTGAAACTGTAAGTAGTGAGTTTGCTGTGCGTTTGCTGACCATTACTCCACTTTATCCAGCTGCGGTTTGTCTTTTTTCGCATACATCACACTGAATAGTCTATGATTGGTGGTTTTTCAAGGCAGTCATACAACTCTTTCCTTTCAGAGACCTGGCCTGGCTTACAAGCTTGTAATTCAGCACTGTTTTACACAGCTTACTCATGCAGGATTCCACACTAATGAAGTACTTTGGGCTTTGTGTTTGGCAGAAAAACTGATTTGTGTTCTCTCCTCCTGCCTGTTCACTGCAGTTTTATCTTCACTTTATTTGAGGCTCTGTCCTCCACTAGTCGACTGCTGCCCACAGTGTCAACCAGTGGATTTTTTTTAGTCAGTTAGTGAAGTTGTACCATTTGTCTCTGCATTATAGCATTTACATCATCAGTATCATCTCTTAATGAGAATTTTCTCAGTGCACGTTCTGTTTGCTGTAGATTATCTAAACTATTCAGTCAAATGGGAAATGGTACAATAGCACAGTGTTTAAAGTGGTGTCACTGTGTGCGCCTGCATGCATGTGGTGGAGTTGCGGCTCACAGTGATGGTGCTATACTGTGTTTGCCTGTGCGTCTGCGTTCCAAACTGTTGTTTGGGCACGTGGGTAATGTGCTGGAATAAGAAGCTTTGACAAACTGCCATAAATCACCGGCCAATTAGACAAAGCGCCAAGGAATTTGGGCGCGTGAGAGATAAGACAAAAGAAAGGAAGAGAAAAGGGAAAAGGAAGAGAAAGGAACAGATGGCGGAGGCTGGCGGTTTTGTGGCCTTTTGAACTGGTCACTCGCTTCAGAGGTGCTTCTCTGGGTTGAAGACGAAAACGTGTGAAGAAGAGTAATCAAGAGTGTATGTGTGGGTGGGGTTGCGGTGGGGGGGGGGCTCCTGTGTAATTGGGGGTTGTGTGTGAGGAGGGCGGCCTTCACACCTTCAATCTGGTCGCAGTCTGAGCCGACTGATTGCCAGAGAGGTCTGGCGGCTTTACGGTCACACACACGCACACACACACACACACACACACACACACACACACACACACACACACATAAACACACGCAGATGTTTTTCCGCCCCTGGTTAAAACAGCAGAGGTGTAATTTGTTCTGACAGCAGGTATTTTTTATTGTTCTACTCTGCTAAATAAGGCTCTTCTTCTTCCATAAGCTCTCTCTCTCTCTCTCTCTCTCTCTCTCTCTCTCTCTTTTTTTTTGACCATCAGAAAATATTTTTTTCTTTTTTCTACTTTTCTTCTCTTTTGCTCTCCTCCACTCTCTCTCTCTTTCTCTCTCACCTATCTGTCTCTCTCTCACCTATCTGTTGTACTCTGCTAAATAAGGCAGAAGTCCCTTCTTCCACAAGCTCTCTCTCTCTCTCTATCTCTTTCTCTTTCCCAACATCAGAATCTACATTTCTCTAACATTCTCTCTCTCTTTCTCTGCCACCCCTCTCATTCATCACTCCCTCGTTTTCTGTCTTTCTCTCTCTCCATCTCTCTCTCTCCTTTGCTTTCTCTCATCTGTTTCTCTTTCTCCCTGTCTCTCTCTGACTCTCTTTCTCTCATCTGTTTCTCTTTCTCCCTGTCTCTCTCTGACTCTCTTTCTCTCATCTGTTTCTCTTTCTGGCTGTCTCTCTCTGACTCTCTTTCTCTCATCTGTTTCTCTTTCTCCCTGTCTCTCTCTGCCTCTCTTTCTCTCATCTGTTTCTCTTTCTGGCTGTCTCTCTCTGACTCTCTTTCTCTCATCTGTTTCTCTTTCTCTCTGTCTCTCTCTCCCTCTCTTTCTCTCATCTGTTTCTCTTTCTCCCTGTCTCTCTCTGCCTCTCTTTCTCTCATCTGTTTCTCTTTCTGGCTGTCTCTCTCTGACTCTCTTTCTCTCATCTGTTTCTCTTTCTGGCTGTCTCTCTCTGACTCTCTTTCTCTCATCTGTTTCTCTTTCTGGCTGTCTCTCTCTGACTCTCTTTCTCTCATCTGTTTCTCTTTCTCTCTGTCTCTCTCTTTCTCTCTTTCAAGCAGCATCAGAACATACATTGTTCTCTTCCCTTTTCTTATTCTTTATCCCTTTTCTTATCTTTGTCCCCTCTCTCTTTTCTTCTGCTTCTCTCACTTCTCTTTATTTGTTCTTCTCTTGTTCTATTCTCTTTCTCTCTCTTTTTTCTCTCTCTTTTACTCTGACCCTCTCTTCCCTTCCTCTGTTTCTTTCTCTTACTGTTTCTCTAATCTCTTTTTATTTTCCTCACTTTTTCTCTTCTCTCTTTGTCTCTTCCTTTCCCTGTCTTTATTACTTATATCTCTCACGTTCTCTCTCTCTCTCTCTCTCTCTCTCTCTCTCTCTCTCTCTCTCTCCTTTATTACATTTCCGTTCTTAATGTAATAAGCAGTAATGAAAGATGTGTCTGAATCAAATTCCACAAAGAATATCTGTAGTGTGTTTGTATGTGTGTGTGTGCCTGTGCACTTCTGTGTATCTTATTTTAGTGTGTGTATGTCTCTGTGTGTGTGAACCTCTGTATGTCTTATATATGTGTGTGTGTGCGCACTTCTATGTATCTTATGTATGTGTGTGTGTGCACTTCTGCGTGTCTTGTATGTGTGTGTGTGTCTGTGCACTTCTGTGTACCTTTTGTGTGTTTGTGTGTGTGCACTTCTGTGTATCTGATGTGTGTGTGTGTGTGCCCTTTTGTGTATCTGGTGTGTGTGTGTATGTGTGTGTGTGTGTGTGAGAGGTGTTTGCATCTCACTAATATCTCCCTCCTCCTGTCCTGAACAGCCCAGGCGACCGCTGCCATGGCGACCGGCGCCCCCTTCCTCCCGTTGCTCCTAGCCATTCTCCGATTGGCCACCTGCTCGTTTCCAGAGGAACCAGGCCCTTTAATCTCCGCCCCTGCCGAGGGTAAGCCCCTCCCCCTTCCCCTTCCATCCGCCAATTACCTCACACTACAGGGTGGCATTTGGACACAGAAGTCCCTCAGGAGCACAAGTGAAAATCTATCACCTCCCACGGGACCCTCAGAACAAGCTCAGGACATGAATGACTTTTACATTTGGCAGCCAGGAACAAAATTAGTTAACACATGACAGGTTTGGAATTTCAGAACCTAATTAATGGAACAGTGATTAATATTGTAGTACAGCGCTGTGTCCTTGTTATGATGTCCGATGCCGATGGATTTGTTTATTAATTCACTTCATCAGTTCAGCCATTATAACTAGTGTAAAAAGCATACAAATATGGTTTAAATTAGGTCTTGCAGCAAAATTGCTATAAGGATTTTAAGGAATTTTACTATTTTAAGGAATTTTACTATTCACAATGTAAACTGTCAGTACATTTTAAGGGTACATTCCTGCCTTAAACTAGAGTTTATTTGTTATTTGTTGAGATATGCAGTATTCTGTAGTCCTCAGACTCATTGGTTCAGAATTTTATATAATTTTTATGTTTTCATTAAGCCCTTAAATGTGCCCTGCGATGGACTGGTGACCATGGTCCAGGGTGTATCCTGCCTTCCACCCAGTGACTGCTGGGATAGGCTCCAACTCCCTCCATGACCCAGAAGGATAAGCGGCTTAGAAGATGTGTGTGTGTGTGTGTGTGTGTGTGTGTGTGTAAGCCCTTAAAGGGCCAGAATCCACCGGCAGGCCCAAAGTTTTATTACACACTTCTATAATCTAAGAATAGCTTGGCTAGTTTACATGTAAGTCCCTGTAGTTACTGAATAATAAGCCATAGTATGTAACAAGCCTGAGATTTTAAGGGGTTAATAATGTTCTTTCACTACAATATCAAGTGTGCGTCACAGAGATACATTAAACATTCCCTTTGGGAATCCCTGTGGTGTCAACCAATCCTGACTGCTAGCCTAGCCACTCATCTACAGGCTAATACATACAACTAGAGATGCATCTATGATGATTTTTTATTCTAATTCTGCTTTACAGCCAAATTGGCCCAAATTTGGCCAATTTTTAATAGCCTTTTTCAATCCAAAGCTTACATGGCAACGTAGATTGGCCAACATATGTGGTCCCACTTTACTATAAGACTAGATACTGTATATGAATGCTTTCAAATTTGTTTATTAATTATGGTTATTAATTAGGCTATAAAAGCTTTAAAATAATTAATAAGCAGTTTAGCACAAAAATAGTGCAACAGTAACATTTTTTGCTTAAACTTCAGATTTGCTTAATTCATCTTTTCCTATCAGTATTATATCTGTCAGCTTCATCAGATATTCATACTCGCAGATATAACAGGTCACTGTTGCCCTCTTAATTTATGTGTTATAAGTGCTTATTATGCTATTTGATATGCCATTCATAAACCCTTTATGAAGGTGGTTGTGTTCAAAGTTGTCCCAAATGAAATAATAAATTGGCCGATCACTGATTGCATGTTTGGAGAAAAAATCTGCCAATTCCAGTTTTGTCTGAGTCTGATCATACATCCCTAACACAGTTTATTCATAACAAAATCATAAACAATTATTCAGCACAAAATGGAAATGTTTTTCATCTTTTCAGTCAGAGAAAAGAAACCAAACTGAGACAAGATATCTAATATTAGGTAGTCAAGTATCGTTATCCTCCTCATCTGACAAGTAACTTCTAATTTGAGTAATCCATGATCTCCACAGACATGGCAAAGTTATTACAGTTATATAGCTACAATAAGATATTTGGAATCCTAGCAGTAACATTAGTTTTTATGCTTTCCTTCTGAAGTCATCATATAATGAAAAAAAAAAAAACATTTCAAAACATCATCGGAGGGGAGTTTTCCTAGTCTTTAAACCAGAAAATCTCACTCTAGGGAATACTGCAGCACCACTGTAGGATGTGAATAAGCATGTTACAAGCAATGGGTATATATGGAACCATGACAAATCAAAGGGCCATCTGAATGCTTAAACTCTTCTTTGCATAGTTAAATAGTTCTTCTCCAAGATGGAGAATCTGATAAAAAAAAATGTTTTTAAATAACCTTAAAACAAATTGGTGTGTCCTTTTTTGGCAGTACACAGATGCTTTTTTTCATAGAACTTTAGTGCACCCCTGCCCAAACCACATGTTTTTGGAGTGAAAAGAAGCAAACACAACCTCTGCAGCAAACTATTTAAATTTTTTTACTTTTTGCAAATGTTGATGTTAAAACAGTTTTTATATTTGATTAACATGCAAAAAAGATTTTCAAGATAGGAAAAAAATGGCATGTTTCGGGCAGTACTTAGTAACACTCCCTACACAGATTTCACAGCCTGTAAATACATTTTATACCCAGCTAGGAGTCTTTCTATTATTGTTTTAGGGAATTTTCAACCACTCTTCCTTCCAGAACGCTTCTAGTTCTGCAGTATTCTTGGGCATACACAGCATGGTTAAGATCTACCCACAGATTCTCAATGACGTTCAAGTGAGGGCCATTCCAAAATCTTCAGCTTGCATTTCTTGAAGTCTTCGGTTTCTTGACTTGCTGAGTCACATTTACTTCCAGAATTTGCTGACATTTAGTGTAATACATTCTTTTATCTACCCATGCGGTATATGCTGAGCCACTAGCTGCCAAACAACCCCAAAGCATGGAGATCCACCCCCATGCTTAAGAGATGGCAATGTGTTCTTTTCATCATATGCTGCTCCTTTTTTCTCCAAACATACCTTTGGTGACTGTAGCTAAAGTGTTCAGTTTTTACTTCATCGGCTCACAGCACTTGCTTCTAAAATGCCTCTGGCTTGTCAAGATGTTGTTCTGCATATTTTAGATGTTGACTTTTGTGATGAGCTCACAGGTACGATTTCCTTATGATGACTCTTACATGCAGATCATGTTTGTGCAAGCAACAGTACAAAGTAGAATGGTGCACCACCACTCCTGTATCAGCTGAATCTTCCTGCAAGTCCTTTGTTGTCCTATGGTGGTTTTGTTTTGCCTTTCTGGCCAGCATAGGAGCAGTTCTATCTTCCAGATCTTGCCTTGACTTCCATAGTTCCTCTTATCTGCCATTTCTTAATGACAATTCATACAGTAGAAAATTGTGAGCTGGGATTGTTTGATATCTCTTTATAGCCTTCTCCCACTTTATAGGCATCTATTAGCTTCATTTTAGATGCTTAGACAATCCCATTGTTATTGGATGTTGCTAAGTTTTGATTTGAGTCAGAGAATTTATTGCACTCTGGAAGTGTCATCAGCTGACAATTCCTAATGTCTGCCTAGCCTGTCCTAATGACTTAATTACAGCTTAGTTAAGCTAAGTAGGCTCTGAGACTTTACAAGTCCAAACTTTTCCAGATGACACAATTGTATATTGATGTATTATTCTTATTTTTAAAATCAATCAAATTTAAAATAACTGTACAGTAACATTTACAGCACATTATTGTTTTTTTTTTAATACTTTGCTGCAAAGAGTTTTCAAAAATCAACAGAATATCTAATTTGGCTATGGGGCACCCAAACTTTTGCACACAACTGTATACTTCTTGAAACGAAATAACAGTGAACATCTTTAAATGTAGCTACTTGCATTCTTTCAGGCGCAGTCATTTAACATTTTAATAACTGTGTTTAGACTTTATCTGGTGGGACATGTTGGGGAACAAATTCAAATGTGGTTGTCATATATACAGTCATATTTATGAGCTTCATAACTACTGAGGACAGTTTAAAAAATGCCTTCAAATGAAAGTTCTCTGCTGAAATGGCATTAGTGAAGAGAAAATGACAGTTTTATTGAAGGCACAATAACATTTTTATTTCCTATAAATAAATAACAGGATGAATGGATCTTTTCTGCATTCTCACCTGTAGTTTCCCATAAAAAATATACTTTCAAACTTTATGAAAAAAAAATTACACCATAGCTAGCAAAATGTCTATTATAATTTAAGCTTCTGGATGACAAAAGTTATTGTTTTAGTCCTCAGGCTCTCTTGAATGTCAACTTTACCAAGCCAATACTTTATCAATGTTGAATTTACGCTGCTTTAGCACGTCGGCAGATGTGAACACATCCTCCCTCTTCAGTTGGCTGAATGTGGATGTTATGAATGAGTTCCCCACCAAAATCCAACCAAAATATATATTTATGTAAATAATGCTTTTAACAGTTTTGGATAATTAGAAAGTCAATGTAGTTTGCATCATTAAACTTGTGTTTTCTATTCGGTCTTCTATATCTCACACAAACTTTTGATAAGCAAGCAAATGTTTCATGCACTGACCAGCACACACAAATCACGCAAACAACACCTGCCTCCTGATTGGTTAGCTACATTGCATTGGCCAGATTAATTTGCATAATGTTCAGCCCTGCTTGTAGATTGTGCTGTTTGATGTGAGTAAGTGCGTTTCCTCTCCTTTTGTAAATATAAAATCATTATCTAAATGCAAAGTTATTGTTGGTGGTAATCGACCATATTGTAGCGTCAGTGAATAAGACGACGCTGGGAAACACTGCGCTTTAAAGGTGAATGCTCTTTTATTGAACAGACAGTAAGAGATAACCACCACTCAGTGCTAGCTGACATGGCTGGGAAGCAGGCAGGTCACCTCCAGCCATACAGTCTCGATTCAGAGCTGACACTTAACCCCATAAAATCCTAGGTTTATTACATATTAAGGCCTATTATTCAATAAATACATTGACTACAATGCAAACTAGCTGAGTTATTTCTGTGTTAAAGAAGTGTGTAGTAAAACTTTGGACCTGCCACTTGGCCCTGACCTTTTATGGGGTTAACCCACCTGACCAAACCCACAGCCCAGCACAGAATAACGCAAATACCACTGCTGCACTAGTAACGTCCACAACAGCAGTATCAGAGCATTAAAAGTCTCTTCTTACCAGGAGCACGGCACCTCTCAAGAGCCTCTTTGCACAGCCACTCTGCAAGGCCACGCCTCCCGCCAATCCTACGGCAGTGTGGCCAGTGGTAGAACTCCACAATATGTTGTACTAAGTTGTACACTCTTCAATACAGAGGTGCCCCAAATTGTTCTTTGGACCGACACTATAGAAAAAACACTTTTGATTCCCTAAACAACCTGATTTTTTTTAAAGAACCATCCATTGGCAACCAAAAGTGGTTCTTCAATGGCATTTCTCCAAAGAACACTTTGGATACTTTTATTTAAAAGGTGCAGATGCATCAGATAAAGATTAGTTTGGAAAATAGTGGCGTGTTCCTTTAAACTGCAGGCTTATCGTTGGGTTATTACTCACAGGATTTAATATTCAGTTACCGCTGTAAATTATGATATGAGAAGTTGAAGTGTGGGTCCACATGCAAGTCCCTTAGAGTTCATGGGTTCACCTATAATCATATGTTAAGTACAGTTTTGTGGAGATGTATGTTGTAGTTAATCTGTTAGCTGACCGTTCCTCCTGAGGATGTAGTGTTCTGTCCAACCCCCACTCCTACAAGCACTCCGCTAGAGTTGCGTGTCTGTGTGCATACTCGCCGTGGGCAGGAATTAGTGTTATTGCCTGCCGGCTCTAACGTCAATCTCATGATTATGCAGTAGAGCGCAGAGATCAAAGGTCAGACAGAACCGTGTGATTTACATGCTCAGGAAAACAGCACATGGAATGTGTGTGTGTGAGTGTGAAAAACTGTGAGAAAGACAGGTACAGGGAGGGGGGAACGGGTTGAAGATTATTTTCTTGAATACAAAGCTTTTAAGCTCTAACAGCTACTTTACGTCACATCTGAGAAAGGCTGAAATAAGCCTGTTAGCTCGTACCTGCTCTGATCACCATTATATCCTTTAGCTGTATCATTTCATTCCTTTCCGTTCCACTGAAGTGCCCGTATTATAGAATAGCAATTATAGCATCTAAAGCGGGTTTATTCTCATAGTACTATGATACAGATGTAATAGAGCGCGGCAGTAATGATGAGAGATGTTCATCCCCTGTAGGCCAACAGCTGTTTTTTAGCTGAAAAACATGAAAGCGCGCTGTGGGCCAGGAGCAAAACATGTCAGCACAGTTTGTAGACTTAGGCTCTGGTCGAGCTAGATTACTTTTGCCTGGGGAGCTGCTGTGATTTAAAGCGATGGATCATCGAAAAATGAAATTTACATAATTTTACACGAGTGTGGTTGATGAGCCGAGACATGTTAGACATGTGAAGTTGGATTCTTGTGTTTTGCACTGGAGCTACAAGGCTATGGTAGCTAACAAGTAAAGCTAAAATACATCAGTTAGCATTATGCAAACTAAGTGCCTAGCACTCTTAGCTAAAAACAGAAGTAGCAGCCATCCTGAAACCTGTTTTTGGTTCATTTTTATGTCATACAGTGACATAAACCACATAAGTAAGTCTGTTTGAGATTACATAACAATTCTACGCACTTTGAGGCAAGCGTGTAATGATGGCAAGCAGTTTGCACAATGCTAATTGATTTTAATAAGTTTCTATTACTTGTTAGCTACATTAGCTTTTAGCAGTTTTAGCAGCAAACGTTTTAGCTGATTGACTACATTTAGGGTGAGGGGAATGCTGTGCAAATTTCACTTTAACAATACTATGCAAAAGTTTGGGTGCTGTTGGTCAAATCATATGTTCTGTTGAGTTTCCAGGTGAAATGAACCCCTTAAAATCCCAGGCTTATTACATACTAAGGCCTATGATTCAGGAACTACAGGGACTACAGCAAACTGGCTGAGCTATTCTTAGGTTATAGAGGTGTGTAATAAAACTTAGTCAATACTTCTATACATTTTGAATTTAACATATTGAGGAAAAAATAAAGCATAAAATGTGGCCTGTGCAAAACATATGGCATGATTTGTATTTCATATTTTATTTTTTCCAATATGTTAAACTCAAATTAATAAAAATTGTGCACTCAGAAATTTGCATCTTTGTTTTCTGAGACCTGTCCAGGGTGTTTCCTGCCTTCCACCCAATGACCGCTGGGATAGGCTCCAGCTCCCCCCCGCAACCCAGAAGGATAAGTGGCTTAGAAAATGTGTGTGTATGTGTGTGCGTGTGTGTGTGTGTGTGTGTGTTTTCTGTGAAGAATGGTAACTTGTTTTCACTTAGAAAATCAACAAAACATCATTTGATCAGGGATGTTCAAACTTTTGCATGTAAAAGTAACAACAAATCTGTGATTTTAATCGACTGTGAATCTGCATTGTTCATAGTTTTAGCCAGAGAAGTCTGACAAGTTATAATTACAGAATGGATTGCATTTTGTAATCCGTGGAACCCGCAGCTCCCTCAGTAGGAGTATTTCTGTTGAAATCAACCTCACGGTTATGGAATAACAATATCTGGTAATACACTCAACCATGTGCCGCTGTGTTGTTATTGAGCATAATCCCAAAGTACCCCTGCTATAAAAAATAGCATAGACCGTTATAGCTGGTCAACAACAAAAAACATATGTTGTGTTTTTTACACTGGTTTGCTGGTCAGCAGCAATGAAAGCTTCTATGGTGGTTACCAGCAAAACCAACATATAGAATGGTGGTAGGGTGGTCAACCAGCATGGCTATTTTGGGCGGCCAGCCAAACCAGCACCAGGCCAGCATAAACCAGCATAAACCAGTTTAGACAAGCATGAATTCCATGTTTTTTTTTTTTTTTCCCCAGCAGGTACATCCAAGCTATGAAGTTTCAGTCCAGGCTACATATGGAAATTAGGAAAAAATACACAGCTAATTTGTCCCATATGAATCAACCAATCAAGTCCTTTACAAATCACAGTACCAAACCTCCTCTAGTAAAACTAATTCAGCTCAAAAGAAGCTTTACTTTGGAGGATATCTGTGGAATATTCAGACTGCACCTACGTTATTAATAACTGACACTGTGAGGTCAGAGCATGATAAGATCAGACCAAGAGGCTATCTGAGATAACTGCAGTTAGAAAACAAATGAGTTCAAAATAGAGTTCTATTATTATACAATAGTGATAGAACACCGTAACACTGGTGACGACTCTGCGAAATATTAGAACGATAAGATCTCAAAACTTAAAATGAGGTTGTAGTTAACAAACAGAGGAAGAGCTTGAATAGCCTTCTGTGACACTCATAACAGAGTATAACACTGGATCTAACACTGCGAGACCTTAGAATGATAAGATTCTATCTGACAAAAGATAGATGGCAGGGATGATATAATACTGAGATAGAACCAGGAAGAGGAATAGAACGCCTACAGCGACAAGAAAAAAAACCATGAGGTACCACAGGATTCATGCTAACAGTGCTAAACAGAAAGCTAGTTAGCTCACTTAGCCTGCTGCAGATGTGTGGTATTCTCTCTGTTTGTGACAGAAGACAGAAATTGATTTTCATGCTTTATCATAGGAGCTAGGATTTGGAAAAGACTGGTCATTCAGAATACTGTGCCAAAGCAACCTTGCAAAGCATATAAAGCTAATTATTTGGGTGGTGGATCATTCTCAGCACTGCAGTAACACTGACGAGTTTTTAAACAGTGTCCACTCACTGTCCACTCTATTAGACACTCCTACCTTCTCAGTCCACCTTGTAGATGTAAAGTCAGAGACGGTAGCTCATCTGCTGCTGCACAGTTTGTGTTGGTCATCCTCTAGTCCTTCAGCAGTGGTCACAGGATGCTGTTGGAGGGATATTTTTGGTTGGTGGACTATTCTCAGTCCAGCAGTGACACTGAGGTGTTTAAAAACTCCAGCAGCACTGCTGTGTCTGATCCACTCAGACCAGCGCAACACACACTAACACACCACAACCATGTCAGTGTTACTGCAGTGCTGAGAATGATCCACCACCCAAATAGTACCTGCTCTGTGGGGGTCCATGGGGATCCTGACCACTGAAGAACAGGGAAAAAGGGGGCTAACAAAGTATGCAGAGAAACAGATGGACTACAGTCTGTAATTGTAGAACTGTGCACCTATATAGTAAATGGAGCTGATAAAATGGACAATGAGTGTACAACAAAACAAGGAGGTGGTCATAATGTTATGCCTGATCAGTGCATATATATATATATATATATATATATATATATATATATATATATATATATATATATATATATATATATATCTCCTATGTCTTCTCCTTTTCTCTGTCCTTCTTGTTCCATTTCCTAAATGCTTCTTTTTATGTTAGCTCATCTCTCCTCTCCTCTGCATCTCACTGTCTCTTCTCTCTCTGTCACGCTCTCTCTCTCTTTGTTTTTCAGTTCAATAGGCTTTACTGGCATGACTGCTTAACATGCAATATTGCCAAAGCAATTACAAGACGATGGCAGTGCAACAGGCCTAATAATAAAACATCTCTGACAACAATAGCTTAATATAAATAGCAGCTATATTTTTATAAACTGCGCTAAGAATATTTGTGGATCCATACACAACAACAAATAAACAGAGAGAAAAACAATCAAATTGGGATGGAATCAAATCAGAACACATACTGTCCTTCAGCTTCAGGAAGGGAACTGATCATTTGTTGTATGTTTCTCTCTCTCTCCCAGTTGCTAGGCGCTATCCTGTGTTTCTAGGCCGAGCTCATCGTTCCTATATGCGGCAGGAGCCACTGTACATTCAGAGCGTCCTCAAAGTCAACCGCACGCTCTACATCGGAGCAAGGTAACTGCACCTGCACTGACCACTCGCCGGCATTGAACTGTTGCCTGCACTTTCCACTTTTTAACATTTGTGTGGTTTTATGTAACATCATTCTTTTACATGAGCACCAACCTCTCTTTATCCCTTATAATTAAACAGGCTGTTTTTGTTGCTTTTTTAAATATGTAAATGGATTCTGTTCTAATTGGCTGCCCTGAAAAACATTTTCTTGCAGTCAGGAAAAGCACAACAATTAATAACATTTTTCTCTGTCTTCAGCTCCAGCAACTCTACTATAGCCAGGATAATGTACTACTTATCAACTCTTCTAGTTCTATTTCATGTTCCACCTCTTTGATGCAGCTGTAGCCGTCATAATAACCTTGACTAAGAATTCAATTGTCTTTTTGGACATTTTCTAAATCATTTTCTCTAAAACGTCTAATTTGGCTAATTAGCTACCTCACTTGCTAGTTAATTAGCTTGCTAGCTAGTTAAAATTACTGGCTGATATGAAACAATATACTTCACAATTACACATAATTATTTGGATTTTGTTTTCTGACAAGTGTAAAAATATGAGCAAAAACACTCTCACACTGTGGGCGCTAGCATAAATGCTAATCAAGTTAGTGTTAGCTTCCTAACTAGCTAATGTCCTCTTAGCGAACTGTTTACAAAGTAATAGAAAGATAGCAGTCGACACATCAATGTACCAATCTCGTTTACATTCTGGTTCACTTACTGGTGATGTAATATTGCTTGCTAACTTTATCTTCAACTGGATAAATTTGCTAAATTGTCGTAGGCTTTAGCTGTGTTAGCAAAGACAGAGGAGAGCACACTTGAGCACCATTAGACCAGTCCTGAGAAACTGAAACTGAAATCTTTGGTACTGGACAGTTGGCCAGTGGAAAAAAGCACAGTTCCAGCTTTCTGGTACTCTGTGAAATGGAGTCTGTGAAGTGTTTTTCATGGTTGTGACATCACAACCATGATGAATTCAAAATAGGCATTTTTGAAGCTTCATTTTCATATGTGGACTGTATGGTCTGGAGAGTGAACACTATGTTTTGAAACTTGTAACTGCTGGAGCCAATTACACAAACTTTTTTATTTAAAAACAGCAAGCAAAATTTCCTTTCTATGATATGAGCCCTTTAACCCAGAAATTACCTATCACTCACCTAACTTTTATGTGGAAATGACATCTCACATTGACTTCAGCTGCGCACCTCACCTGCACTTCTGAGCATTACTCAGGATGACCAGTAAAGGACTGACACTTTGCCTGACCACAAAGCACTCTATGACTATACCCCAGCTGCTTTAGGAATATCCATTTTAGAACCATTACGGCAAAAGCAATTGGCGAGTATTTTATTTTAGATGAGGATTTTCATTTTAAGTGAATGGCAGGTGTTTCGCTCCCCCCGAAAAACGGAAATGAGAAATTACACAGTGGAACGATTTCATTACGATTTCAAATCTCTGAAAAATGAAAACTTGGGTCATAAGCGCCTGAATCCGAGGAGGTAAGGAGGTATTATCCACTCAAAGTCTTTTTCCCATCTGCTTTTTATTCTTCCCACTGTGTGTGTGTGTGCGAGTGTGTGTGAGTGTGACTCCGTTTCACGGGTGTTATCTTAAGGAGTGTTAAAAAAAAATCCACCACACAGATCATACTTTCTTCAAAGGCAGTGTGAACTGGAATTTTTAAAATCTCTGGAGAGTTCACATGTGCTCCCGCTTAGGCTGAAGCCTGAAGGGAAAAGCTCTTAGAAAGAAAGGGGGTGGCCTTGCCCTTTGCCCTCGCCCCCTGTTCTCCCAGAGACCACTCAAACACTCTTCTCTGTCTTCCCACTGTCAGGGCAGATACACTGTGGCTTGGGTTGCGAGATTAGAAGTGTCAGGGAAACCGGTAGGAACCAGTTCACGCCTTCCAAAAAGTGTTACATCTTTGTGACAGAGATTTGCACGGCAAGAGGCGCACGAGTTTAGAGTCGAACTGTTGTACTGAATCACATATTGCATCTACATTATTTATGAATGACACTGCGAGGCCATAGAGCGATAAGATCCGAGCAAAGGGTTGCTCTGGGATAAAAGCAGTTAGCAAACAGATGAGTTCAGAGCACCTCTGTAATATGATAATCCTGACTTAACACCATATAACCCTGGGAGACATTAGAAGGATAAGATCCAGGGATGAAAATGTTGCTCTAAGCTAACAGTGGTTAGCTCTAAGATAACTGGGATTATCTTACTAATTAGATGGCAGGTTCTGACTTTAGAAAGGATTTTTAATTCGTTAGCCCTAGTTAGCCCTCACGTCATTAGTTTGCAAGGCACAAGGCACGAAAAGCTGCACAAATGTGGGCAAGAAGCTAACTTGTCCAACCAAAATGCATCTTTACACAGCTAATGCTGCAACCCATCACCACAACACCACAGTGGTTGCTGAATGCTGGTAATGGAAATGGATGTTTTTAATGAATATAATCAAATAAAGTAGTTTTCTCTGGAACAATGTTGGCTCTCAGTGTATGAGATGTTGTGATTCTGTGTTAAGCTGCTAGTGAGCAATGAGGAATGAAAGGGGAGGAGTGAGTACTGTGTTATGGCTTCTGGTATAAAACCAGCTCTGCTGATATTTCTGCTGCTGATATTTGACATTCTGTGATACACAGCATGTAGTAGACTAGCCAGAGTTTAGGTAATTCTCATGTAGAGCCTGAGGTGGCAACTAAAGTGGCCAGGGAGGCCAGTGCTACCAATCGAGTATATATTTATTAATCAGCTTTTTGGGTTGTACTTAACAAAGGAAACTATACTATTTCCATCCTCACTCAACTCTAACAACAGATCTAAGAAAATAATAATGTTTAATCAAATGTTACATTGAATAACAGCTCATGCACAAATAGGCCTGTCAATTTCTAGCAACAGTGGGCTAGTTTTGAGGACCCCAGTAATACAGTTTTGGTCAGTGGTGGGCAAAGTACACAAATCTACTGTTCTTGAATGAAAGTAAAGATATCCGCTGTTGAAAATGATTTGAGTAAATGAAGTCCTCCATTTATGTATCTACTTGAGTTAAAGTACAGAAGTATTTTTATTTTGATGGATATTTATTTTGATGAACAATTTCTATTAAGACTTGCATGGCTGGCATTTTTTTAAAACAGGCACACTTTACTTTTTTAAATAAAATAGTCATTAATCATAAACAAGTTACATTTTCAATATTTCAAAATAACTTCTGCTTCTGTTACTCTTGTGGACAAATGTTCAAATTGACCACACAGTAATTTTCTCAGAAACACAAGTCATAACTCACTTAAAAACACAATGGAAAACACAGAGTGTGGGTATAAAGGCTTGCACAGCTTTTTTTAGGCTTCAGAATCTCACTGATATTTTCTGAAAGAGTACTCTAATACCCATTCTCAAAATCATGCTTAAAAACAATATCATTTTAACATTTTTAATTGTCTGTCTGCTACTTTCATTAAAGACAAGAAGGTTTTTTTTTCTTATGTGAAGTTATGTTTTCAATGTACAATGTAAGTTTTGTTCCGACAGCAACTCTATGGTCATTCAGGAGATTGTGATGTGGCAAGTTCTTTTCATGATTTCCAGTGAAATAAAAGTTTCTTGGAGGTGTGCAAAGCAAAAAGGAGAGATGTAGTATCTTGAATTGTGGAGCTATTCAATTCTTACAAATCAAGGGGATGATGGAATGTTATTGTCCAGGAACTGTGACATCTTTGAGGTGATCTCTTCCCAGCAGTGATGGACTGGTGGGTCAGACTGCATGAGTGTAATTGGTAGTATTTTTGAGAGTACAAGGCGTACATTAGTCTGAGTTTGAAAACACCCATGATCATGCATCACGTTAAAGTCTTGCCTGTTTGGTGCTTTTCACAACGTAACGTAGTCTACCTTAGCAGGAAGAGGCTGTTTGAGTGACACGTAAAACAACTAATCACAGCCCACTGTTTTGACATGACATATAGGGCGATTGTGAAACTCCCATGAATATATCATGCTTAGATAAACTCATTTATCATCATGGTGTCCAGAGCAGGCAGCTGTTCGCTATTGCTGACTAGAATTAAGTTTTAAAACTCTGTCCAAATAACAAAAAATGCTTCATGGAAGTGCATAAACTTGGATGTATGGATAGCCATGTGGAATGCATCTGACAAAATCCCAACAGTTAAGACCAGCCTTGTGTGTAAAAGATTTCAAATGCTCCATCTCCGTGTGGACGAGATTATGTGCTCATATCTTTGTCCAGGAGAATGTGCATGTTTGTGACTTTGGTCACGTTAAATGTGGATTTATAACTTTCCTTACATTTTTATGTTTTAATATTATGATCTCTTTCCTATTGGTTAATCAGGCATGATAAGTGGTGTCATCATTGGAGGACAGAATTTTATGTGAACAATGAACAACTATGAAGAAAATATAAGGAAATTGTTTGAAGTATGTTTATGTTATATATATTTGGTGAACATTAAGACCTCTGTGGCTGCAGACATGAAAAAGATTTTTAGAATCATGTGTACTTTACTTAATAAAAACAAATTAATCAGAAACAAGTTACATTTTTAATGTTTACAAATAACTATAATAACCACTACTAAAGTCCTGCATCTGTTGCTCTTGCATACTGGTGAGGACCAATGGTCAACACTGCAAAAAAAATGGTATCTTGGCAAGTGAAATCATCTGAAATATAGCTGAAATCATCTAATATTTGTCATTTTGAGATTGTTGTAGAACTATTATAAGATTATTTAATCTTTTTCTTGACATTTTTACTTGTTTTAAGTGAAATTATCTCACTATATTGGCAGATAATTTTGCTTGTTTAAATAAATATGCTTGAAACAAGCAACATTATGTGTTAATATAGTTGGTCATTTTACTTAATAAAATTACTTAGGTACAAAATCTAGAAAGAAGGTAAATAATCTTATACAACAATCTTAAAATGAGAAATATTATAT